CAGAATCAGCAAGGTAGGGATATGGGGGAAGGAGAACAGACAGACTGGACACTTCTACTCTGGTGGTTACAGCTGCCACTTATCAGTGGGTGAGCCAATCAGGCTGCTTGCGCTTATGCAAAGCACTAAGATGGGGTCAGGGCCAACCTGGCTTGGGGACTGGATGTGACAATAACTGTTAATCCTTATAGACAGTCCCTTATTGCCAGGCTGATATCCTCCAATAGTGACCTTGGACACAATCCTAGAAATTGGTGGTACTTTTGCCCCATTTTATAGACAAGGCTGGCAGAAGTCTGTTTCCAGAAGCTGTGGTTTTTAACTGGACTTTGCTTCAGTAAGAGGTGCTATTTCTTCCAGAGGGGTTATGGCATGCTCCATGCTGCCCTGAGATTTTAATTAGTAAAATGTATAAATCTGAAGTGATGGCTCAGTGAATTGTCATATATATGCATAATGGTGTGACTAGTTCCCAGGTCAAACCGTTAGGCCCAGGATAACACGTTTTTCTGTTATCGCAGCTGGCTTCCACATGCCATTTCACAATAAGATAAAGATCTTATTGTCAACTTTTTTAGTGCCCTCCGCAAAGTTGAGAGCATGTTTCTCCTCTCTTCTGTGACTTCCAGGTTCCATGATCTACTTTGCTTTCCCACTCCCAGCCCCCTCCCTTCCTGCCCTTTTCTCTTCCTCTCCTTCCCCCCCCCACCCCGCCTCCCTGACTACAAGATCTCTGCCTCAGACACAAAATGCCATACAGAAAATCCCATGTGCCTTTGATCACACTGCTTTTTCCTCTCTGGGTTCTCAGTTTCCCTCAATGTCTGTGACCTCTAGATTTCAAGTTGAGAAGGTTTAAATAGATGTCGGGGTCATGATGGTTTCCTCACAGGACTGCAGTAACAGAAAAGATGATAAATGAACACTCCTGAGCATTTTGTCCTCTCCTCCCCACTCCCCTCCCTCCTCTGATGGTCCCAGGAAGGAAAAAAGAGCCCCAACCTTTGACAAACCTCAGAAGCCCAAATTATCCATGGTTAGCTCCCAGTGCCTGCCAATTTGCAGGCAGAAAATGCTTTCTCCTGACTCTCTTAATCCTCCTGTTGCATTTTAAATCCCCCTCAGAAATAGCTGCTCCTCTCAAGGACTCACGTTCCCTTGTACCCCTCCAGCTGCAACCAAAGGGATCTTTGCAAAATGTGTATCCCCCCATTCTCATTCTCCTGCTTCAAATCTTTGAGGGTCCTCTGTAGCCTGTCACTTTTGAACTGTTATTCAAGGTCCTTTCCAATTCCACCCCTTCCTGCATCTCTCCATTCATCTCATGATGCCTTCAGAATTGCTTGCAGCAGCCACACCAGGCCTCTTGCAACCTTGAATATGCTAGGTATTGTCATGCCTCCATGCTGATGCATACACTGCTCTTGCTTTCTGGGATGCTCAAACTCTACTTCTAAATGTCCAACTCTTACACATCCTCCAGGACCAAGCTTTACTACTCATTCTGTATGATGTCCACACTCCAGCTATGTACAGCCCTGGAAAAGACTAGGTTACATTGGGCCAGGGAATTTTCCAACTCTGTGTGTGTACCTGGAGTCTGGAGGGATAATGAGGATGTTTAGAAAAGGGAAATAAGTGGGAGAGGAAGTCCAAAGTCTGCCTGAATTCCTCAGTGATAAGGACTACAGGGAACTGTCCTGGCCCTGGCCCTTAAAGGGCAATGGTTGACCAGAAGGCCAAAGGCAGGGCCATGAAAAAGAATTGATACTGTCCAGACCGATAGTCAGAGACTTGGTCCCATCTGGGAATGCACATTTTCTGGATGACCTCAGGTCCCTCTTTGGTTCTCCATTTCCTCTAATCTTTTCCAGATGAGGTCCATCACTCAATTATATTCCGTCAAAGGAAGAATTCATCTTCTAGGTCACCCCGACTTGATTCAGAGACATCCCAAGCTCCTGGGTTACCCTGGACACTCCTACGCCCACCTCTCTTCCAAAGTGCTTCTCTAAACTACCTCTCAGGAAGGGCTCTGTGGCTGTGCTTCTGGGGAAGCAGAGTTGGTTAGCAAAGTTGGCCTAACTCTCTTTCACTCTCAGAGAGTTCCAGGCATAAGCTGCTAGGAATCCTAGGTCCCCACAGTGACTGGGCAGGGGGAATGTATCTCTTGGTCAACTGAAAGATCATAGCCCTGGCTTAAGAGGACCTAGAAAGTAAGGGCATCCATTTTCCTGTCCTCAGACCATAACATTAAACATTTTGAGTTCCAAGGACAGAAAACTCAACTGGCTTAAGCCATAAATAAAGGCATTGGCTCATGTTGTGGGAAACAGTTCTGGTTTCAGGCACAGCTTCAATCAAGGGCTTAGATGATGTTAAGAAAACCTGGTTTTTCTCCATCTCTTTATTCTGCCTTCAGTTGTATGGTTTTCATTACTGTGTTCCCTTTGTCAACAAGATGGTAATGGAAGTTCCAGCCCCTCCTGCCTCCTTTAGGTTTCCAATCCAGTGGGGAAAAGTAAATCCACTTGCCTAGTAGCTTAATCCAAAGTCCCAGGAGTGAGCCTTCTGGCTCTGAGCAGCCTGACTTGGGCACGTGCCAGGCAATGTGGCTGGGAATGCTCTGATTGACTTAAGTCTTGGGCATATGTCCATCCTCTGGAAAAGGGTTCATCGTAACCCCATGAACTAGGGGTAGGGAAGGAAACAGCTTCCCAGATAGAGATGAGGATGTGGCACCAGAGAATAGTAAAGGGTGGTGGAAGGTAGAAACAACAAGATGTCCCCTCCACTTCCTCCATCCAGCTTTCATGTCACAGTGTGATGGGAGGTGAGGATGGGCAGGACAATCAGGAGAGGCTGGAAGGGGCCCGGAAAGCATAAAGAACCCTGTTGTTGGTAGACAACAGGGCTGGCAGGTACCTGCAGGAGAAGCATGCTCCTAGACAAGCAAGATAAACCAGTGATCTTGCTTAGGGTGGCCAGTCCCTGGATTTCTCTTTTAGAGACCATCTCTGGGATCCTCTTGACCATCCTTCTTCCCAAACTTGAGTATGAGCCAGGCACAATGCTTAAGACACGGCATTGTGAGCATTTCAGCCTGAATAACCCTCATGGAAAAGAGGGGAAGCTCGTGACCCCCCACCCAATGAGAATCCCTCGGCACAGTTTCCTTTAAGTCTCCTGTCTTTTAACTGTTTTGCAAATAACTGTATCCTGTTCCATGACAGATGTGTTTTAATATGCCAAGTTTTAAATGACTTACCAGCTCAGGTGTTTACCCCAACTGACTGGCAAAGTAAATGATCCAAGATGAGACCCATGTTCACTGTTTAGCTTCCAGGCCAGTGGCACATGGGCAGGGTTCTGGATGCTGGGAGAGTCTGAAAGGTGTCTTGGACAAGGAGACCTTTCTTTGGACCTGAACTAGGTCAGCCATGGTACCAACCACATACGGGAAAGCTGGACTGTAGGAGAGCTGTCAAACAACAAAGCTCCATAAAGCCTTCAACAAAGAATGAGAGAGTTATTGGTGTGAAAGAGACTCAGCTTTGCAGCCTGATAGGCATTGGATTGTTCAGCCTCAGCTGGGACCCTTCTCCCTTGATGACAATGGAGAGTCACTGTCACCTGGGATGCACATTCTTCACAGGGTTGACTTACTTAGCTCAATGGTCAACTTGCTGTGTACTTTGGTGCCTGCAGTCCAGATAGGGACCCCCTTAAAGGAAGGAAATGAAAGGAAGCCCCCACCTATGCTCTTCCCACAGACTCACTTCAAGAAACCTTCAAATCAGCAGGGAAGGTGGTTGGGATCCATTTTGCCTAAAGAGAAACTGAGGCCCAGGGAGGTAAAGACCCTGTCCCAGGATGGGAAGAACAATTTGAAAGAGACACTAAGAATCTCTGATTCTGGAGAAGTCTTTCTGGATCCTCTCCTATGTGCTAATGCAATATTATCCTTCCTGGGCATAAAAAAGAAAACTTGTTGATTTGCCAGGAATGGCTGCTACTCCTCTAAAGTCAAAGAGACAGATAGGAGCTACCACCAGCTTAGTCGTTCCTCCATGGTAGATTTAACCCACCTTTTCCCACTCAAGAACTTCCAAAAACTGTTTTTTTTTTCTTTCTGGTTGCTCCTATACAGCCATCACCCCTACTCACATGTCTGCCCAAGTGCCAACGTCTTCCCACACTGATCTGCCCTACCTACACATTGATCCCTGTCCAGAGCACTGTGGAAAGCAGGAGAGAAGTGTAGGATTTTCCACCCCTTCCCTCCAGTTTCCAGAGACAGAGGAGGCCTAGTGGGAACTCAAGACATTCTAGAGGAGTCTTAAACCTCCCTGACCTTCATTAGATCTGGTATAGCTTGAATCATCCAGAAGCTAAGGAGGAGGAAGGTAAGGTCTAGACAAGGCACACCCCTTCCCAATCTAGTGAGCATGGGACTGACAGGCTCCTGGAGTGAGATCAGAAGCTGGAAAATGCCTCTATTCCTGGATTCCTCCAAGGCCTGGCCACACAAATTGGAAGATGGAATCCAGCTCCTCAGAACATGGTAGCCCAGCTGAGCCCCAGCCATCTAGGGAGACTAAGGTGAGAATGGCCAAGCTGAAGAATGGCAGACTCCAGTGGACCAGCTCAGGGATCGAAGGAGAGGCTCTCTTATCCCTTGCCAGGGTCATGCCACACACTTATGGTCAAAGCAGCATTACTGGGGAGCCACCTAGAAGCCATGACAGTGCCCTCAAAGCAGACCAACTTTGGGAATAATGGACAACGATGTGGGGTCAGATCTAGGTCAGGGTCAAGGTCCAGTCTGGGCCTAGGATGGATATGTAGTCTGGGGTTGGGATGGGGGTTCAGTATGGCATTTGGATCACCCCAGGGAAGTCCTGACTGGGTCCTACCTGGTCCCATGCTCCTGGAGGTCCTGGATGAGAGGCAGGCTGTGGACAAGGCTGATGAGCACCCCCCTGTCTGTTTTCCCACAGGGCGGCCGGGCAGCCAGATTGCAGCAGGAATGTGATTATCTGCAGATGATCGAGGTGCAGCACAGGGAGTGCCTGGAGGAGGCCCAGCTGGAGAATGAGACAGCAGGTAAGGCCCCATGGGAAGAGAGGAGCTGCAGACCCCATGGAGCCCCATGTCTTCAGCTCCTGTTGTGAGCTGAAGTCCAAGTCACATACACTCCACATTGGTTAGATGGAGATCACAGGGGACAGGGATTGCACCACAGAGCTGCTAGGTGGTAAGTTGGGAGAAAGAAGGGCGAACAGGTCTTCCTGTTCTCCTCACCCTACCCCAGGTCTGGGGAGCTCCCAGCTATCAACAAAGAACCTACTAATCTGAGGCTCTGAAAATGGTGTGGATCCAACTTTACTTTTGGGGGTTCAAAATGAGTGGGGATGATACCTATGGCTGCTGGCCCATCCAGGAAGGGAGGTCCAGGGTTCTAGGTGATAGAGGCTTATAGACAAGAAGGCAGGCAAGTTCCAGGACACCCAGCCCAGCCCAGAGAGAGGCTGGAGTAGCTGCCCAATGGGAGCACTACTGAATCAAGTCTCTAGCCACGGACTTGGTTAGAGTGAGGATGCGGAGGCCTGGAACTAGAACACCATACTCTAGGATTAGACCATTGTACTGGTAGCATCTCAGAGGAAGAGTGGGGCATTCAGCCGTGTGACCTCCATAGGGACTACCTGGAAGCTCAAAGCCATCTTGGAAATGCAGAGCAAGGAGTACTAGGCTAATCTGGACAAATCTGGAATACTTAATCATAAGAGAAGCTGGAACCCTGCTTCTTTCTCCCAACCCTAAATGCTGCCACCACAATACCCAGAGGACTAACAGTGACACTGCCCATACATAATAGTCCTTAGGCACACACAGTGGCCTCCCCATCCCAACCCACCCTCAGCAGGCCCAAGGAACCATCAGTTCATTATCCTGCTTAGTAGACCAGTCAAGGTCAGCCCTAGAGGCTGAGCACATGAGAGTCCCTGCTGCTCCTCCTCAAGGATCTGGGAGAACTCCAGCCTGGTAGTATGAAGAGTGGTACCCAGCTGCCCAGGACAGGGCCACCAGGACAGATGATAGTACCTTCCCCTCAGCTCAGCAACAGAAGGTTGAGCCAGATTTTGGAGGGTGAACAGGTTTGGAGAAGCAGAGAGGCTGGGAAAGTGGGGATACCAAGGCAGACTGCCTGTTGAGAGCCAGGCGGGTCAGGTTCAAGGCTCACTGAGGGTAGAAGTTGGTTCCTCAGGCAGAGAGAGTGAAGTAACTGCACCTGCTCTGGGTCTCCATCCCAGGTCATCTCTATAAGGCTAGGCTTACAGGGATGGGACAGCCTCAATGAAGAGTCAGGAGCACCTCTCTGTCCTGCTGGGTTCTCCAGATCCCCAGCTATGGCCCTGAGGCTGACAGTCATGGAACCTCTCCTGAGCCCCTGCTCCCTGGCTCTGATGCCCAAGCTCTATCTCCTGCACACATAAGTGAGTGTATGTGACCTCACAGATGGGCCTTGCCCCTCACAGGGTAAAATGACCCTGTCTCCTGAGTCCCGGGACTAAGGCCTGGGACAAGGGGTAGCTAGACTTGCCCACTGCTTATGTGTCCACACTTGCCTGCAAGGGTAGAGAGGAGGATCAGGCTGCAGATAGGTCCCAGGAGGCCTTCAGATCATGGGCTGGCCTGGAAGACCCAGACCCCAGACTCTAGGCCCCACTTTTGTGCCTTCCCAGCCCTGGGGCAGGCCACCTCGTGATGTTGATGAGATCACTGCTGGCACCGGGTGCCTGCTGAGTGCCAACACCCTGTCATTCGGCAGCCAGCTTGAGATCCAGGGGAGGGCAGGCGGGGGTCTATGGGCTGTGTGTCTGCCCGTGACCTTGTGTGGGACTGGGTGTGTGTTCCTGTACATGTGAGTTCACACTTCTGGTGCATACCTATCTGGGGTTCTGTCTGTCTCTCCGGGGTCTGTTGCTCTGACTCTGAGTATCCCCAGAAGTCGTGGATATGTGCCTGTACATGCCTAGATGCATCTGCCTGGTATGCTGTGCCCCTGTGTGTCAATTTGGGAGCATTTCTATTAGAGTAAATGTCCATGGTATGCTCAGATGGGTCTGTCCTTGTGCATGTCCGTCTCTGTGAATTGTGTGGCCTTCTGTACCTGTTTGCTTGTGTCTAGTCTTCTCATGTCCACATAAGTGTGTGTGTGTGTGTGTGTGTGTGTGTGTGTACACACTTGTGCACGCGCCTGGGGTTCTGTGTGAATATGTGTCTCTTTGTGCATGCACTTCTAGAAAATGACACAGCAGAGGCCCAATGCCACCCTGCCTTGCCATTCCTTATTTCATGCCTCAGGTTGGGCTTTCCTATTGGGATAACAATCCCATCCAGTGGGCACACAAAAAATATTCCCAGGCCAACAGGCCATTCCACATACCAAGCATTTTCATGGCTATGACCCCTCCACTTCTTCCCTGACCCTGCTGCCTCAGCAACCAGTCCTACCCTGCCTTCTACAAGAGGCTTCCCCGAACACATCCCCCATATTGTCCTCTTCCCTGGCTTCCTGCCTTACTTGATGGCCTGCACCTCAGGACCAGTTGTTTGGTTGTGATTCCTTGAGGCCCAGTGTGACCTACCTGAGATCAGGGCCTAGTCTCCCTCTCTTCTAATCCACCTCTGGTGAAGCCAAGTTCCGGGCCAGAAGCCGGGTTCTGAATCGGCTCCCCAGACTGTGCTGGCAGCTGGAGCTTCAGAGTCTGAAGTCTGGAGGGGACCCAAACAACAATAGCTGGCCTACAAAACAGGGTGTGGCAGGCACTGTCAGAGAAGGGTAAACAAAGGCCAGCAGCAACCAAATCCACAGAGAAATGTCTCGGAGCCCTTCAAACCAGCAGTGGGAACAGGCTAATAGGCTGCACCTCCCACCAGCAAGGTGACCTTCAGCTATGCCTAATCATGACGCCTTAGTTTCCTCAGATGTGAAGTGGAAGGGTTAAATAAGCTATTCCTTTAAAGAGGGCAGAACAGTGCCAGGCACATACCAAGCCTACATGTGTTTGACATTAACAGGGTCTTAAACCATAAGCAGAATTTGACTGGCCTGACAGGCCTCTACGTGGCCTCCAGAGAGGCTGGCACAGGAAAGGAGGAGAACCAGCAGCCAGACCAAGGCTGAAAGTGCTCTTGGGGTAGGTTGGGGTGGAAGCGGTTGGGGTGCACGAGGAAGGGAGACTAGTCCAACCAGACCCCAGGGTTCAAGTGTCTTCTTCAGCCTTTAGCTGCAGGTGCCACCTGACTACTGCAAACCCAGAGGTCCCTGCCTCCAGTCTCCACTCCCACTGCTGCCCCAATCCAGCACTCAGAGTCTCTTCCCCTAAGTGGGGACATCCCTCCACCTCCTCTTCCCAGGCCCCCTTCTTGGGAACTTGTGAACCTTCGGACCTGGGCTGGGCTGGGCTTGGCCCAGCTGGCGTTGACTTTGGCTCAGGGGTTGGGTTTCCTGAGCAAATCTATGGGACTGGCAGGATTGCAAAGAGACAATTAAGCCTCCCCCAGGGGAGGGGGTCCAGAGTAGTTGTAGTCACTCAAGGGCACCCTGATCCTAAAGAGGCAAAATTATGGCATTTGCATCTGCCTAGTAAATCAGATCTCTGGAGACGCCCCTGACTAGCCAGGTCCTGCAAAACTCATAGCTACACAGTGAAGCCCACAGCCTGTGCTGCAGGCGTTTCTCTGATGCCCCCATCACCATTCCTAACCCAACTGAGCTGGAAGCATCTGTTCTGATGTGTGAGCTTTATGCAGAGTGTCAAAACCTTGGTGAACCCTCATATACTTGTCATCCCATTGTACCCAACACCTCCTTTTTATAACAACATTTTTTCTAAGGTCACTTTTTACTATTATAAAATGAGATTCACAATCCACTCATATTCATTCTTTAAAAAAAAATAGGGTTTATAATCGGCCCTTCTGGGACATGTTTTGCTTTCTGAGTGTGTTGTAAAAGTCTTGTTTGTGTCAGTAAAGTAGGATCTATCACCATTGTTGAAATTCCTTAAACTGCTGCTGATGAGAATTTTGTGATACATTTTTGAAATCTAAATGTCAGTTTTCTCAAAAATCGTAAAAAGAAAGGTCATTGTGCTACCAAAAAAAGATGTTCTAGCTATAATATGAAAGACAAACAAAAAGGAAAGTAACTTGTAATACAATGCTGTGTACACATTCAGGCATGATTGCACTAAAAGATAAGAAGATATGGTCTGAAGGTTGTACCTATAAATATAAATTCTGGGAATGTGAGGGCTATAAATGCAGATTGATATATGCAGGTGGTTATATCAGTGACTCAAATATCACAAACAGTGTTGCTGTGGGTAACATGATTTCCCAAATCATCAAATGACTCTAAAGTTCAGAACAAAACAAGGTATATATTCCTCTCCCCCTTTTCTCAATGGTTACATTCCTGGAAAACTTCATGTATGTTAAGCCTGTGCAAAAAGCACCTTACGTTTTTACATAAAATAGAACAAGAGTCCAAGCTCTGGTCATTGCAAAAGGTTTTCATCTACACAGAGGCCCAGTGGCACATCTGAAAGTCATGCAGAATGTAAGAGGATTTATCACTGTGTAGGACCATCCAGGTCACCTGCCTGGCATCCCTGGTTACTGCCCATCAAATACCAGATGAAGCCTTCCATCACTGCAATAAACAGTGAGAAAGGGAGTCCCACCCCAAAAGGGCACTCCATCCCTCACGAGGACCATGGAGTGGTAGTCATGCCTTCTCTCCCCTCTCCCTGTCAGCACATGTCCTGAACAGCCTTGGCAAGTCTGTGCCTCCCCTCTCAGACTGGAGCTCCTCAAAGGTAAGAGACTGTCCGGAGGAGGAATAGAGTGGTACCTATGAGCTCAGGTCCCAGGGCTTCTCTGGTGACCCATGTGTCCTCTGCCTTCACCACACAGGCTGCAGCAAGATGTGGGACAACCTTACCTGCTGGCCGGCTACCCCTCGCGGCCAGGTGGTCGTCTTGGCCTGCCCCCTCATCTTCAAGCTCTTCTCCCCCATTCAAGGTAAGAATCCTGGTCTGAAGGGCAGGAGCTTTGGTGGGTAAATGTGAGCCTGCTGGAGTAGGGACTCCCTTTCTCAAGGAAGGGAAAAGGTAAAGGGATGTAGACAAAAGGGTTGAAGTGATGGGGGGGGTCCTTAACAGGGAAGCAACAACACTGGATCTTTGAAGGACTCAGGGGATTTGATTAGCTCTTCACAGAGAGATAAGAATGTGGGAAGGGCTCACTAAATATTTGCTTAACAATTGATAACTGATTGACTGACAGGTGCTTAATTAAATTATGGCTCCCATGTTCCTGTTGTCTTGGGTTGGTTGTGATTCAGTCTTTTGCTGCCTGGAGCCGATGATCTTTTGGGCTCCATGAAACTGCCATATAGCTTTGCTTACACACATTGTCTTGTTCTGCTTAAATGAATGTTCACATGTGAGACAGAAATTTTTTAAAAAGGTGGGGGGGAACTCTTTAGGAAGTGGGTTTTCTTGCTCCTGAGTCATTAGAAGCCTCCAACACACAGTCATTCATTCTTCCTTTCAGTGGATGAAGTACCTGCTAGTACACAAAGAACAGGGTTAGAAAACAGTAGGAAGGGGACACTGGAAACAACCACCCTCTGCCTGCCCTCTGGGAACAAGGATCTAGCTGGAGAGGCATTTAGTGTGGCAATAAACAAATACGTCATAAGGGGTCAGAAGTTCTGGGAAGGAGAAAGAAGAGAGTGAGGGCACTGTAAGGCAGGTGTTTCAAACAGCATTTCTGAGGAGGTGATGCTTCAGCTACAGTGTGAAGAGCTGGCGATGAGAAAGGGTCACTAGGCAGAGATCCTAAGCCAGGGGATAAGTGTGAGAGAGAATCACTAACTGTACAATAAACATTTAAGGAAACCCCTGAAGGATGGCATGGCTGGAGCTCAGAGGAAGGAGGTGAAGGTAGATACAGATTCTGCAGGGCATTGATGGCCTATGTGAGTTTTGTCCCAAGTCTGGTGAGAAGCCATAGGGGATTTTGAGCAGTGGACAGGCACGGTCCAATTTAGGTTCTTGTTGGAAACTCTGGTTTCTCTGAGAGGGAAATGGGAAGACTCAATGACAAGGCATGCAATATTTGATGGTGGCTTGAATTCAGTTAGAAACTGTGGTGGAGGAGAAAAGTGTGAGAGGTTTGTGTAATGACAGTGTGGAGGTGAGAGAGAGGACAGAGAGAGAGTCTACATACAGCCCACACAAGTCCAAGTTGCAGGAAAGTACAGGAGGAGCTATAAGGGGGCAGGAAGGATCCAGAGAATAGCAGGATGGATGGAGAGAACTGAGGAAGGAGGAGAGAATATGGAAAGAATGGATAGAAGAGCAACGTGGTGAAGTGAACTGGTAAAGGATTAGGATGGATGGAGAGAAGAGAGACAGGGGAGCATGATGGACAGAGAGGACTGAGTCAAGAGGGGATAGTTGTGGGATAAGGAGTTAGGAAGGATTGTGGTGGGTGTAGAGAACCGAAGGAGGAAAGGGGTGTAATGAGAAGACCGAGAGAGGGGCAGGATAGAGGAGGAGTATGGGAGGAGCATAGTTACATGGAGATGACTGAGGGAGGAGCAGGATGGATAAATAGGTCTCCTCAGCTCTCTCCATCCATCCTTCTCCATAACTCCTACTGATCACAGCTCTGTTCCTCTTTCCTCGGGCCTCTTCATCCACCCCCGGTCCCGCCTTGGACCCATACATCCACCCTGTTCTTTTCTCAATCCTTTCCACCCATCCTGCTCCTCCCTCTGTCCTCTCCATCCTTGTTACTCCTTCCTCCTCCTCACTGTGTCCTCTCCATCTGCCACGTGCCTCCCCAGGTCTGCCTGGTCCACATAGTTCCTCCATCTTGATTTTCCTACCATATTGATCCTGCCTCACTGCTCCATATCCGTGACAATTCTCTCCTCCTGCCGTCCTTTCCAGCCATCCCGTTCCTCCCTCAGTCCTCTCAATCCACCATGCTTCTTCCTCACTCCTACACATCCTGGATCAGGATGGTTGGAGACGACCACATGAGGAGCAGTGTGGAAGGTGAGAGAGGATGGGGACAGCATACATGGAGAGGACTGAGCGAGGAGCAGCATAAATGAAGAGGATTAGGGGAGGAGCAGGGTGAAGGGAGAGGACTGAGGGAGCAACCAGCTTGACCTAGAAGACAAGAGAGGACATGGATGAATGGAGAGGACTTAAGGAAAACAAGTACAGATGGACAAGACAGAAAGAGGAACATGAAGGGTAAGGAGGAATGAGAGTTGCAGCACTAAAAGGAAAGGACAGAGGGAGGACTGTGTGAATAAAGAGAACTGAGGGAGGAGAAGGGAGGATGAGGAGGAGCCACCAGGGAACAGGCTGAACCCAGAGGGCTGAAGTAGGAGCAGGGTGGAATGAGATGATTGAGGGAGGAGTTGGATACATGCAGAATACCGAAGGGATTGTAGGAGAACAGAGGGCTAAACCAGGCAGATGAAAAAGACTGAGGGAGGAAAGGGAATGAAAAAGTCCTAGGGAAGAGCATGATTGGTGAGGATGAATGACAGAAAATGATGTTAATGTGGAAACTAAGTGCGGAGGGAAATGGATGGAGAGGACCGAGGAAGGAACACAGGAACACCACTTATGAGGTGGTGCAAGGGGAGAGCACGGTTTATGGAGAACACTGAGGGAGCTTCACTGTGAATGACAAGCAGTGGGGAATGTGCACTGTAGGAGAAAGGCAGGTTGTGTGGGGTAGAAAGGGGGACAATCACCCTGAACTGACAGGACTGAGGTAGGAACAGGATGGCTTTAATGAGAAGAGTAAAGGTGAAGGAAGATAGATGGGGGAGGAGTGAAAGAAGAACTGGGCGGGAAAGCAGGAGTGAGGGGGAAACAGGGTTGGACGGGGAGGACTGAGCAGGTTGGATATGAAGGAATGAGAGAGCAGCAGGGCTGGATGGTGATGCCTGGTACAAGAACAAGAAGTATGCAGATGAGGAAAGAGGGGGAATAAGGGTGGTGAACAGAACCGTGGGGGATTATCAAGGTGGATGAGGAAGGAGAAAGATGGAGAGGACTGAGGGTAGAGCAGGGTGGATGGAGAAGACTTCGAGATGAGCCATTTAGATGAGCAGAAGAAAGGGAAGGGAAGGTTGACGGAGAGGACCAAAGAAAGGACAGTTGATGAGGACTGATGACAGAGTGGGATGGAAGAAGAGTCCTGAGGGAGAAGAAGTGATGGAGAGGGGTGAGGAGATGATGAGGAGAGTGAGGAGGACAGAGGAATGAAGCAGGTGAGTGAAAGCTGGAGGGGTGAGCAAGGCTGAGGAGAAGGTGTGAGGGAGGATCAGGGAGGAGGGAGAAGGAGGAGGAGGGCAGAAGACTGAGAGACGATGACTGATCATGAGGAAGAGGAGGGGAGGGCAGGGCCTAAGGAGAGGACTGAGGAAGATGTTCTCTGGATGTACAGGACAAAGAGGGGGAACATAATGGATTTGGAGCAGGAGATGTGATGGAGGAGAAGGATGGGTGAGGATAATGATGAATGGATTAATGAAGGGAGTTTGGAAGGAGGAGGGCAGCATGGAGAGATTCAGGACACATATGGAAGAATGGTGGAGTGGCAGGGCTGGAGGGAGAGAACTGAGATGATCAAGGTTGACAGGTAGTGAGGGAGGATCAGTGTGAATGCAAAATACTGAAGGAGAAGCAAGATGGATGGAAAGGACAAAAGAAGTAGGGTATTTGTGGCAGAGGAGGAGTGAGGGAGGAGCAGGTTTAGTGGAGAGGACTGAGGGAGGAGCAGGATGGATGAAGAGGGCTGATCCAGGAGCTGGATGGATGGCCAGGATGCCTCATTACACTCCATCATCCTGCTCCCCCAACACCCCTCCTAACCTCAGACCTCCTTGTCTTACAGCCCTCTCTGTCCAGCCATGCTCTTACCTCAGTCCTCTTCAACCTGCTGCTATTGCCATCTCAGTCCTCTCTATCCATCCTGCTCCTTCTTCAGGCCTCATCTTCTATCCTGCTTCTCCATACTCCTCTTCCTCAAAGCCCTAGGCCTCCTTCTTCAGTCCTCTCTGTCTAGTCCTATTCCTCCCAGTCCTCTCCATCCCCCCTGCTCCTCTCACAATCCTCTCCTCCTACTGCTATGTCCTCAATCCTCTCCTCCTACTGCTCTGTCCTCACTCCTTCCTCTGTCCCCTGCATCCACCATGACCCTCCATTGCCCCTCCTCATCCACATTGCTCCTCCATCCCTTTTCCTTTCCATACTGCTCCTCCCTAATTGCTCCTCAACAGCAACTCTCCTTCCTCTAGGACCTCTCTAACCATTATACTCCCTCCTCAGTCCTCTTCATCCACCATGCTTTTTTCTAACTCTTCCACATCCTTATTCAGGGTGGTTGGAGGGGATCATATGAGGAGAAGTGTAGAGCGCTGGGCATGAGAATGCAGCATCATAGATGGAGAGAACCTAGGGATAATGATGGATGGAAGGATTGAGGGAGCATCAGGATGGATGAAGAGGACTGGAGGTAGAAGAATACTGGGAGAAGGTAACCATGGGAGGAGCAGGTTGTATGGGGATTAACTGGGGGAAGGCGTAGATTGGGAAGCGAGGTCTGAGGAAAGAGCAAGATGGAAGGAGAGGGCTCTGGGAGGGACACATTGGGATAAGAGGACTGAGGGAGGATCTGATGAGTAAAGAGGTCTGAGGGAGAAGCAGGATAAATGGAAAGGGATGGGGGAGGATCACAAGGATAAAAAGGACTGGAGAGGAATAGGGTAAGATATAGGGAGAATGACTGGAGAGGACTAAAGAGGAAATTGAGGGAGAAGCAGGAATGATTGAGAGGAATGAGAGAGGAGCAGGATAGAGGGAGAAGAGGGAGGGAAGAGGAGGGATGGAAGGAATGAGGGTGACGAGTATTGGGAGTAGACATCTGAGGAAGTATCTGGAGGGATAGAGAGGGCGAAAGGAACAGCAGGGTAGATTTAGAGC